TTGTTGTCGTTGTTGTTGTCGTTGTTGTTGTTGCTGTTGTTGTCGTTGTCGTTGTTGTCGTTGTTGTTGTCGTTGTTGTCGTTGTAGTTGTTTTTGTTGTTGTTATGTTAAGGATGATGACGACGAGGACGATGATGACAGAAAAGATGATGATGACACTTTGAAGATGATGACACATTGGAAGGAGATGCATGTGTCAGTTGCGCACACGTGAGCACACATACATGCAAACAACCAAACAAACATACACATGCACACGCACACATACACACACACACGCGTACACAAACAACGCATACATAGACTCCTACATACACACGTACAAACACACACACAAAAACATACACACACACATATACACACACGCAAACACACACATAGACTTTTTACGCACACACACACACACACACACACAAACACACACACACACACAAACACACACACATACACTCCTTACGTACTTGGGTGGATACATAACTTTATACTGCCCTACTCATTCCAGTGCATAACTCCTTAATGTTCACATTATAAACTATGATGGATTAGTCATTAAATTCACTTTTAAACTGCTTTTCAAATAAATATATGAATTATTTAGCGTGCAGTTGTCTTAGGAATAAACGAAATGGTATTCTATATGGATATATATGGGATCTATGTAATTATGAATGGCCTCTCACCAATGTTTTCCTAACAACAACAACAACAACGACCACAACAACAACAACAACAGTATTAAAAGTAATAGTACCACAGATGATTGTAACAGTAATAATGCTAACATAACATTACATTACATTACAGACATTAAATTATTTATTATACATAACACTATAAACAATACTATACACAATACTATACATAATTCTATACAATACAATACATAATACTATATCTAATTCTATACATAATACTCTACACAATACAATACATAATACTATACACAATACTATACAAAATACAATACATAATTCTATACAATTCTATACACAAAACTATACAAAATACAACACATAATTCTATACAATTCTATACGCAAAGCTATACAAAATACAATAAATAATTCTATACAATTCTATACACAAAACTATACATGATACAATACATATTACTCTACACAATACAATACAATTCTATACGCAAAACTCTACACAATACAATACATATTACTCTACACAATACTATACAAAATACAATACATCACATACCCCACATTACAAATTTCTTACTACTAATTCCAACGCAGGTGTTCGCTCAGCAAGAGCGCCGAAAAATTACCAGCTCCGATCCGGAACGCCACAATGCAGATATCAGCAAGGAACTGGGAAGGAAATGGCGGAGTTTGAGTATCCTGGATAAAAAACCGTACGTGGAGTTGGCACGGAGTCTGCATCGACTACACCAGATAGAATTCCCAAATTATAAATACAAGCCGCGAAAAAAACGCGAAAGCTTCGCTAAAAATCGACAAGTTATAGTGGCCAGTGAAATTTCTGGTTTAAGAGAGTGGAGAGGTAGTAGTAATGACGTCAGAATTGACGATGATGACGATGTTGTT